CGTGATATAGCTGGAATATTGTTAAAAGCGGCGTAAAACTAAACTCACTCACTCACTCACTACAAGAGCACGGGCAACCACACCTATCAACCACGTTGACGCACGCGTGCACACTCACGCAATCAGGCACTCGCTCAGTCACGCTTGCATGCACGCAATCATGCATTCACACACATTAGCAATAGGACAATCACGCACTCACACACACAATCACACATGTAGCTTACCCTTGTACTGAGTGCCCTGTCGGCGTTATACCGGGGACAACGCGGTATATCACAACTCTTAAGGTGTTAATTAACCCTACAAGTGACACGCGTCCAATATACACACGTTCTATCACACAAACACCGATACATTAGGAAGTCTATCAAAGTACATGTGCTCCTGTGTAATACTGCAGCACGTAATGTGTTAATTACCTTACAAATGACGAGCCTGTAGTATGCAGTGGTGTTCTACAACCCAACCATCGCTATATCAGGGTGTCTTCATTCAAAAGTGAGTGAGTGAGTTTAGCAATATTCCAGCTATATGGCCGCGGTCTGTAAATAATCGAGTCTGGATCCAGTGATCAACATCAGGAGCATCGATCTACGCAATTTGGATACGTTGACATGTGTAAACTAAGTCAGCGAGTCTTTAAGAGAATATACCTACTGCATGGTATATCATAACACTTTGGGTGTTGATTACTCCACAAGTGGCGGGAGTCCAAAACACGGTGATATTCTATAACCAAAACACCGTTATATCAGGGAGTCTATGTAAAGTGCCAAATGTGAGGATCGTCCAATATATACTCTACAAAAAAGAAACGCAAAAGTGGTTGAAGGATGTATACTTAATGTATCTAATAAATCATCAACAGATCATAATAAAGTGTTCATATTTGGCTCAAGTCATTGTCACTAACCGCGGTTCATCATGGCACATATGAAACAATCAAATGTCAAGATGTAGGTCATCTGTTCTCAATATCTTGCATGTGCTCCCATGAGAGTAAAGAACCCCCCAAGGAATCATTCAGATTACGAATTGGGGCATGGGAAATGTTCACCCACTGCGTTGCTTGTCCCAACTGTTGGAGATTCTGGTGATGTTGCTGACGTGACCGCAGGCGTTGGTCAAGAGCGTCCCATGGTGACCTTGAGGGCCATGTAAACCTGATGTCTTCCGTCTGTACGGAGAAAAAAAAGAAGAAAAGAGGTGAGGTGAAATTGGGTTTAACGTCGTGCTTGAGAATATTTCGCTCATATGACGACGTGCATGCGTGTGTAGGTGTATGTGCGGCTGCTTGTACTAGCCCAGACTGAAGCTGGTTTTATATTGCTAGCCCACTGAGATACCATGCCGCAGTGAAGCATGAATACCCCACTCAGACACATTATACTGACTCCGAGCCGACCAGTCCTTCTTGTACCCATTAATGCCGAGCGCCAGACAAGGACCAACAAGTACCATATTTTAATGTCTTTTGGTATGACGTGGTCGGGCATCGAACCCGCGACCTTCCGCTCTCCGGGCGGACGCTCTAACCACTACACCACGGAGGCGGTCAAAGAAGAAAAGAACTCGTCACTAAAGAATACGTCCCCATCGGTGTTGCGGTCATACTCTGTTCCTTGAATCATTGACGTCGCAGCCGACGATACAGATCAGTCGGAATGACGCCTCGAAATGACCGTATCGGGCAAGTACCTGTGGTGCGTCGACGGTTCCTCGCCGTCTGGGCAGAATGCCTACGCAATCCTGGTATTGCTGCAGCTGCGGTGAGTCTTTTACGTAAGTGACGAACCCGTATGACCTGTCCAGAGCTGTAGTTGTAACGCTTGGTCGACCGGATCTTAGTAGGTCACGTGTTGACCCCTACGTCTGATAACGGTTCCACGGTCTTGTACCGGTGCTTGGCAATATGGGGAAAACATGGCTGAGGACACCGCCAAGTAGCCTGTCTGCAATCGGCCGATGGCGTTGATGCGTTGATCTCTGTCAGTTGTGGCTTGTTTTCACTTTTCACTTGCTGTGCAATTGTGATGGCGGACAAATGAAAACCCATCGTTTTCAAAGCCCAACAATTCATGTTGCACCACATGGTGGTATGTTTAGCCGCCACTCACCCACGTGGTTGCGTTTTCTGGGATTCCCCTGCTTTTTCGGTATTTTTGGGACGTACTTTATTCTACCTTGCACAAATACATACACTCATACTTGGTTTTCATTTTTATGAACATGCGCAATAATCCGTCAGATATTTACATTTCATATGCTTTTGCGTTTGTTTTGTTTTGTCTTTGTTTTGTTTTTTCAGTGTATAGTTCAAACTGCATACAATGACGTTCCATAGACATTATGCTTGTTTGACTTGTAAGGAAAGCGTGTTTGGGCGATGAGAACAACATCTCTAGACTAACGTTTAGTCCCTGAATACATATAAGTGTGATAGTAACAAATAAACCATTTAAATTGAAAAAGAGCCCCAGTGAGATGGGAGATTCAGGCTTGGGAAATCTAGACTTGCTTCATTATGGCTTTAGCATTGCAGGGCGGGCTAGGCAATAGGGAAAATAATGTGGCTCAGGGACTGTGAGACAAACTATTCTGTCTCCTGTGGCCCTCATTTAAACTGCCGACAAAGAGAAACATTCTTTTACAATTTGGTAGAATGTCGACAAACACAATCACCAAAACCCTGCAAACTTAAGTTTCAAACACAAATTCTCCATCCGTTTCAACATACGATCTTTATCCCGGCAGTACATATATCTATTAAAGGTCAGGTCGGTCCAGCGAAAATTGGAGAGAATATGTTGTCGACAAAAGCTTTAAAAAACACACCATTAAGCTGAAAAGCTCATGTACAATGTTATGTCCGTTTTAATGCAATAACGAGTTTCACTCCAATTGACAAATTCAAAAGTGATATGAAACTGTCGTGACTGTTTTTTAGTGTTCACATAACAAAATACTGTAGTCCTTTGTTTTGTGTAATTCCGTGTCTTTCAAAAACTTGTTTGAAATGTAAATATCAACCGTGTGATTATGAAATAATAAAGGCGGAAACTGGGTTTTAAGAGAGCGTTTATCCTGACATGAGCACTGACGTTAGTGTTGACAGTTTAGATTGTCTCCAAAATGTTTATAACATCCCTTTGTTTCACATGTTTTAGTTCATTTGATCTAAGTCCAATTCAATGGACATTTTTTTTTAAAACGCGACAAAGATGATGTCACTTCTCATTGGTGCGTGAGTTTTGTTTTAGGCCGCTTTAACATGATAGCAATATGATAGCGAGAAACACCAGAAATGCGCTACACCAGAGACTTCGGTGTAACGAGCGAACACTTTAACACTTTGCATGAAGTAAGTGCAGTTTTCTTTAATAACCTTCGGGCGGTGGGGTAGCCTAGTGGTTAAAGCGTTTGCTGGTCACGCCGAAGGCCCGGGTTCGATTCCCCACATGGCTACAATGTGTGAAGCACGTTTCTGGTGTACATCGCAGTGATATTACTCTAATATTTCTAAAAAAAAAAAATCACTCACTCAATTAATAACCTTCCATCGAGCAATGAGATTCACGCCGTTTTTTATACAAACATGTTAAAATTATAGCTAAATCAAAATGTAAAGTTATTTACAATGCTATTAGGGTGTGGTGTAAATCATTATATCTGCCGTTTATCACAGTATACTCCTGGGACAAATGTAGACCCGGTCTTAACACCCACACTCCAAATCTTGACCACGTTGAACAACAGGGCTAGTCATCCTCCTTCAAACCAGGCTTAATATTCATGCAGTTGGTCAATGGACATTTGGACAGTGTGTAGACTAAGGCTTAGTCTCTGAATATATATTATTTGGATAGTAACAAACAAGCTCATTTATATTGAAAAGGAGCCCCAGGGAGACCAGAGATTCAGAACCTGAGGAAATCTAGACTTACTTTATTTATGGCTTTAGCACTGCAGAGAGAGCTTGGCAGTAGGGAAAACGATGTGGTTCAGGGACTGTGAGACAGACTAGACAGTGTGGGTCGACCATGTTTGCTTTTAGTAACCTGATAAATTCTGTGGTTAGTTCCATGTCGACAAGAATTTCTGGAGGGTGGGAAGTGTCATACTAATTACTGGATAACACTTTTACTGCTGCTGTGAGATCCTAAAAAATAGGCACTAGATATCATTTGGCCTTGGTAATATAAACAGTCCCTTCTGTTTAAGACATATTGAATCAATAATCAAAGGTGAAATACATGAATGGGCGCGTGCATGGATTCGTGAATGGGCGCAGGACGAACGAATGAACGGCCGAGCTGATTGGTACGTGGAAGGATTGGACTTCAGATATGTGAATGAATGAACACATGTGAATTTCTTGTTGGTGGGGCAGTAGTTCCTGGCCTTGACCTTTAAGTTGTAATTTCATATGTCTTTCATAAGCATCGAGGGGCACCACTTCAGTACGAGTCTGAGCCGAAGCGTTCTCGCAATAAATGGATTAAATTTATATGATACTGTGTGTGTTTTTTATTGGTTTTGTAGTGTTTTGTTTTAAATATTTTGATTTATAAAGATACATTGTTTGAGAGTGAGATTTTATACACGCCAGTGTAAGAAAATGATAAATTGTACTTGTTTTTCTCTTTTCGCCTAAAATACAGTACATAATATACGTGCAATCAGATCAAAAGAGTTTATCGGTTTTGAGGATCTAACTTTCAACAAAACATTATCAAATTAACTTGGAAATAACTAAAAGTATCTACTTGTTGTTTTGGAAAATTAAAACATTCAATATTTTTCCATAGTTATATTCATTATATATACATAAAACGAAACATGCAAAGTGTACGTGTAAACATTGGTGTTAGGGACTGGGTGTCTGCCTGAAAATGTATAATAAAAATCAATTTTGTTTCAGCTTTTCATTGACCCGAACGAGACAAGGGAGGTAACCGTCGCTGACATGATCCCTCCATCTTCAATCAAACGGAGCTAAACGGGCATTGACCGCTCCTTATGCATGGTAAAAGGAAAGTATATCACCGCAACAAATTGTTTGGAAAATAATTAACAGTGTGTTTCACAACCATTCGCGTGTGTGTAGACATATGAAACTCATTAATTTGAGAGAAAAGTCGAACGTTTGCGTCTGGAATCAGATACGAAACCAAAATGACTGGCTCCTGACTTCCTAATTTAGCATTCTGATCGACATTCAACATGGCGAGAAAATTTGAGGTAAGATACTGTAGGTTTATTTTACAACATGTGTGATTACTGTGCTGCATAATGACCTGATTGTTAAAAAAATATCGGAATTAGTATTTGATATACCTATACAATGTTGGAATATTGTCCTTAGTGTCACCACACAGGCACAAAACGTAGAACATCACCATGCTTGATAATTCGGTTTTCTGGGCTGAAACGATCTTATGTCATGATACGAATCCCGAAGAATAATATTACGGATACCGTCGTGTTTCTACACTCATGGATGGTCTTTCTATACCTTTGTGATCGTCGCCACGGTTGAAATAGCCTCACTGACTGATTTTGACAACAGGGTTCCTCAATACGAGCGTAATCGGTTGCCATTCTGAGATTTCGCTGCCAGCCTGTTGATCAACGGCGTTGCACCGATGGCATCTTACATTCGGGTCTATAGAAAAAAAATACACTTCTTTTTTGTTAATAATCATTTACGTGGAAGTTTGCAATACGATCATTACAGACGTGTGAGGTTATTGATTCGTGGTGTTTCTGATGTGATGTTTGTCTGAATCACTGTTGTGATGCTCTGCAATCATCCATCGTAGACAATGGATGACTTATGTTGGGAATTATACATTGGCATGTACCAGTAAGGAGGGTTACCGATTATACTGTATGCTGTAACACAAGTGTAGACAACTGTTTATGTTTCACCGTGTAATGGTTGTTGATTCAGCATCGAAAGTATACAATGTACTTGCTGCAGGGTGCACATGTCCTCATTTCAGTATGAAAAATACAGGAAATCTTTATACTAGGACCTTTGCAAAATTGATGTTTTTTTATTACATTTGTGTTGCATGATTGATTGCGTGATTTATAAGACTGGGCAATTGGTGTTATGTAATATATTAAAAAGTTGCTATAGACACAATGAATATTTCACACCATGACCTCACCACCATACTCAGATTACTGTTTTAATGTTGGCGTGGATTTGTTTTCATTGTGTACTGGTTGGTAACACAAAGTGTCAGTGATGGCTGAATTTTGTTTATGCTGACTTTGCAAATAGTTAACAAGCTTGTAACCAGAATGGTTATCAATATCCCAATCAATTAGGATAGTTTGGATGTATGCCATTTGTCTTACTGCACTCAGTCAGCCTTTGAACCAAATGTATTTGCAATGTTTATGTTTTTGATTAGCCATGTACAGAAAGCAAGTCAAGACAATTTTCTGCAGGCAACATTTTCAGAAAATGTTGATGTATAAACATAATAAGTACCATAAAGTATTAGCATGAAAATGGGCAGCAGGGTGGCCTAGTGGTCAAAGCATGACCTCCTCATTCTAAGGGTCTGGGTTCAATCTCTCTCATGATTACAAAGTCTATTTCTAGTCCCTCATTCAATAAAAGAAGTATAAGACATCCTAAAAGAAGTTGTTCTGGAATCAGTCTTGGGATCAGATGAGAGTGTGGGATGGATGAAATGATTCAGCACTGCACTGTTTGTTTTCCTTGAATCAATACATACTGTCCACATTTTGAAAACTGACAAGACATCACAACGTTGATACACACTTTGTACTTGTTCAGGTGTATCAAGTCAAGTATATACCATCAGACCATGAACTGTTGGTTGCCTTGACCATTTGACATGAATAGATGAAAGTGTAAAATTATTAATTGATCTACATTTTTCTCTTTCAAAAGAGGTGCCAAGATACATATTTACCGAGAATTGCATTAATGTCCCAGGGTTGGAACATTTTCCCAAATACTTTTTTTTGTAAAACAAGCTCATGTCAGTTGTTACTGTTAGTCTTGAAGGCTTAACTCTTTCTCTGTGACACCTGACTGGAGGTTCTTGAAGTATGGTGCTCAGTAATTGTCTTCTTCTAGCATGAGGGTTATGACAAGGCCTGAAGGAGGGTCTTGACAAATAGGGTTAATTGTAGACACTGCAGATTGCTAGGGGTGTCACTGGTTGGAAATTCTAGTGTTGATATATCACACAGAATAGATGTATTGGTATACAGTTATTATAGTAATTCTGTATGTTATCTTAACTTCAGTATGATACATTATGCACAAATGCACGCTCGAAAGCATGTTCATGACGCAGAGAGGAGCAGGTAAAGAGCTGCAACCACGACGTCACCCACACCTTGACGTCATATAATCTGTATAGTTGTAAATGTTTCTGTGTCGCTGAATTTTTTAATTTGAGGAGCAGGTAAAGAGCTGCAATCATGACGTCACCTACACGTTGACGTCATGTAATCTGTGTGGTTGTAAATGTGTCACTGAATTTTTAATTAAGTATCAATATTCATAAATGTAGTATTGACAAAGAAACCATCAGTACACTGAAAATGGTATAGAGAACGCTCATACATGCAGACAGTAAAATAAGGAACTGTTAACTGATCTGCGACCCGATCCACAAAATGTTTGTACACTATGCCATTTGTAAACCAAGCATAAAGTATAGAGTTATGAATAGGTCATTATGTTACGAACACGTTGTGGGTTGGGACCCTGAAGAATGAATTAAAGAAAGGATGGTGTCCAATATTTTCCTGGTATCATATTGTCCCAGGTCACATATTGTGACACAGGTCTATCATTACAGCATAAATAGAGGGCTGAAAGATCCTGTGTCATTTTGTAGCTCTGAGTAGGAAGTAGACCAGGGACTGCTTATTTTCTATTTTACCTAATCAGGGAAGGGCACCACAGCCCACAGAACATGGCTGACATTTTTGGGTGAGTTTTTTGTCGGTGTGCATTGTTTTAGTAAGCATGGTCGCCACATGCATGTGTGGGATGCTTCTCCATGACAAGACTTCATTGTTGTGGGGAGGTGGAGGAGGAGGAGACAAATGCTTCAGGTTTAAGGACACATGTTATACTACTCATCATTTGCTTGGGATGTCGGAGGTATATACTGCTGGTGATAATCTTGGGGACAGCTGTGTGTGAAGGTATTTTCTTAGGTTTGATTTTGGTGGTATTGTACCCTGCTTTAAGTTTGCATACATTTAAACTCAGATACATCTCAGGATACATTGTATCTATGGCAACTAGATTGTTCATATTTACTGCTTGGAATTGGATTTCAAGAGGTATTCTTCTTAAAGATTTTTCTGACTTTTGTATGTTCATGATTGCTTGAATTGGTGACAAGTTCGTTTTTCATTATTTAAACCAATTGGATGATTTACAAATGTCCCATGAAACAAGTCTTAAGATCCAAGCATTCATGCAAACAGATACTTTGACATTTTAAAATACTCTCCTCTAAGCATGCTGGGATATATGCTATAAAACACTGTATGTTTTACGTGCTGTAACTATGCTAAAAATAAACAGTTTCCGTTCTTGCTTTTCCCTGATTGGCTGGTACTGCAACAAAAAGTATTTTCCCCTCACGGTACCCCAAAACAAACTACTTCTAGTTTCATGCACCTGAAAATGACATGTTTCATGGTAGGCTGAGATATTTTCCTTTCTTTTTTGTTTGTTTGTCATTCCAGAATTTTCTGGTGTAGTTCATCTCAGATATGGCTGAGTTTTCTTGGCAACTTTTTTTACATAGATTATGATTCACAAGCTACAGAAAGAAGCCATGAGATGGCATTTAAAAGTTTCAATCGACGTTTTCAACTTATTGTTCATTTCCTAAGTTCTCACGCACATATATACATCTAATATTAACAACAATGACAACAATGGAATCATTGTCAAGGGAACTTTAGGAAAGAACTGATCCCTAGAATCCTACGCACCTGTTGAAATCTGGGTTAAGATAGGCATAGCTTGAAAAGGATACTTTCTGATTGGTTCATGTTGATTTGGTATTCATCATGTTCATTTCAATGGTTGGTTGAAGACAGTATGAAGTTGTAACATTGTTTCAAGATACATATATCATGGTTGGTATTTTTGTGCCCCTAGTCATTAAGATGAGGCCAAGTGGATTATACCTTGCACTGTTGGAAATGATGGTGAAATGCTAATGGCTTGCTGCAGCAGTATTTGGATCAAATGCTTGCTTGTTTTAACCTTAAGGGCATGACAAGGGGTCCTTGACTTGCATGGGTAATTTTAAACACTTCTTTGGTATTAAAGCAGTATTGTTCTCCCGAAGTATTGATTGATGTTCACACTCAGAATGTATTTTGATGTACCTGTGTTTAAATAGATCCTGACAAGCTGAATAATTCATCCAACAAGAAGTGTTAATAAAAACATCCTAGAATATATTTGAAATGTGCCTCAACTGTTTGACACTGTTTGATCACCGTTTACCTCCTGAGTGTTGGAATACAAGCCTGTTGGGCTCTTGGACTATAAGATCACCATTGTGTAGGCTTGTACACAACATGAGACTTGAATGTGTCATGCTACACCACAAGGCTCATTGACAAGTGTCTGTTTATTTCATGTCTATGGCAGTGTTCCTTCCTGTTTCTATCAGCTCTCTGAGTGTGACACACTTAAGCAGTTATTTCATTGATGATGTGACTAATTCTGTGTGTGCCAACCATTCATGACTAATTCCTTCATATGGGGATTCTTTTTGTTTTCCCCACCTCATGAGTGACCATACTTTTTTCTATAAGGGAAAACCCAGATTTTTTATCTGTCTGTATCATGCTCTATCCTCTTGACCTCAAAGGGGTAAGTGTTACAAAAAATATGATTTAGAGTTGAAATGATAACATCCACTCCAGTGTTACCAAGTCGTGTCAGCTTTAAGAAAAATCCCCCAATGATATCATCTTTTGCAGTTTAAACTTGCCTTGAACCATTGTTTGGTTGAGAGCTGGAGTGTAGCTTGTGTATGGTTGTGTTGATTTATCGTTGATTTTCAAGGTGTTGAATTTGTTTTATGCTAGGTAAGAATATTGGTCCAAATCAACAGATGTTGTAAAAGGTAACTAAATATATCTCATGGTCAAACACGACTTAATTGATTTCACATAGTTGTATTGCAATGCATGGATCGATGCTC